ATCTCCTGTCCAACGGCGATCGCCCCGTCCACCTTCAGGAGATCGGCTTTCCCAACATTCTTCAGCGGCGGTGGCAAATCAATCCACTCCAAGTCCAGCGCTTGCTCTACCTCCTCGCCGACCAAGCTGAACTGAACCTTGATTTTGCCGAGATTCAGCCTCCCAAGGTTGGTGTCGAAACTTGGCTGAGCGGTCCGCAAAAGCTTCACCCAAAAGTCCGTAAAGCCTTCGAGACCGAGGACGTTTTGAAGGAGCGTCGTGGCCTTCTCCACCGTGTCAAAGGTCTTCTCCGCCAGCTGTTCCTTGGCATATGCCACCTCTGCTTTCAGGGGGTTTTGCGCAAGGGGTCCCGCGCAAAGGGGGCTCTGTAGCCTAATCGCGCATCAGGGCACAGGTACCAGACACTCATGTTGTTTTCATGCCTTACATCCATGCCTGATTTTTCATGCCATGTTTTTAATCTTTATGTTCATGCCTTATATTCTGGACAAAACAAGAGCTCTTGGAAGTTGCGGGGCGGCCTTCTCAGCCGGTGTTGTGGCGGCAGCAAAACCGTCCTCCAAGAACCCCGTCGGATCGTCTGCAAAATTTTTCACATGCTCACCCCCCGGAATGTAGTCAAGGGGATTCCAGTCGCCTTTGGCTGCGAGGCCTGCAGTCTCGTTCTTCAAACCTCGCTCCAAGTTCTCGCCGGAAGGCAGCGTTCGCTGCGGCTGCTCAGGCGTCGCACTTCGATCAAGGCCGGAACCCTTGTAAAACTGTCCTGGGCGGAAGGGGGCAGAGGGGGCAGAAGGGGCGGAGGGTACAGCCTCACAGTGCTCCCCTCCCTGCAGCTTGGGCTCGGGTCCGGCGCTGGTGCTCGTGCTTGTGCCAGACCTTCTTCAGGAGGGCCGTGGCCTCGTCCAACCCGGCAGCCCCTGTGGAACGCGTCTGCATCTCCTCCAGCAAGATCTCCAGCTTGGAAGGGTCCATTTTCGTGGGACCCCTGTGCCCCTCTTTCAATGACGCAATCTCCAAGCGGTGCGTGGCGATCTCCGCCTGCTGCATCTCGGCGAGGGCCTCGAGCTGTGCCACCTTCACAAGGAGGAAGTTCAGGTTCTTTCCGAGACCCCCCAGGCCCAAGCCATGGCCGCCATCGCTGCCATGGCCACGTGGCGGGCCTTCCTCGATCCCGGGATCTCCGAATCCCGCCTGCGCCTGCTTCCCCGCGCTCGGCTCCGACAACTTGAAAGACAAGCAGCCGGCCAACATCACCGTCAGGATGCGGGCGGTTGCCGCGAACATCGCCATAATCAACACAAATTAAAGTGAGACGAGATCTCACTCCGACTTCGTTGCTGGGAAATGGCTGCCGATTGAAGGAGTCGCCAAAACTGAAAGGCATTTTGCAAAGTAGTCCAGTCACAATAGTGCTTGTGCAGGCGCCCAGCTTTTTTTCTACTGCGCGAGCTCGGCTAGCTTGGGAAGAGGCCGCACCCATGCACCTTCGTAATGCACTTTCAAAGGCCGAGCAGAGCCGAGCAGGACACAAAGAAACTCTCAACTGTCGCAGGGCTCACGATCTAAAGGACATTGAGACATCCTCGTCATCCTTGCTTTCCCTAGGCCCTAGACGGTAACGCCCGGAAATCAAATTCGGGCGTACTGGAGAGGCCCCTTCGAGCCTCCTAGACTTTCGGCCTAACTCAGAAGCACATGATTCATAGTTTCATGTTGAGCATTGAGACGCCAGGGCTCCGGGCTCCAGTCTCGTTATGCCGACTTCTGCGCTCCAAGGCTCTGGCTGCAGAAGGCCCCACTGGACCCTTGTTAGTCTCCTCATCTGCCATATTTAAGAAAAGGCATCCAACACCTTCTCCACGGGCAAAACCCATTTGCTGACTTATCATAGGTGAAACAGCGGCCATGCTTCGAAAGCATCTTCGCCTGCCAGGGATGAACCTATGAACCGTTCATGCACCCTGCAGGCCTGTCAGGGTACAGACGTTCCGAAGCCCTGCCTGGCTAAAGACAATGTAAGGAGCAGGGCCAAGAATGAGATTTGTTCCAGCAGCCAATGCTCCCTCTGCAGTTCTGCGACATAGAGAAGACAGCGCCTCAGTTGAGTGCGAGCAGAAATGTGATCGTGGCAATTTGATGGATGGAGCCAGGCGCAAAATCTAACAGAACCATTCCTCAATCATGCATCCGTGAAGCTGTGTCGGCAGCCACCAGGGAAGACGAACAGGCAGTGTCGCAGGTCAGACGTAATCCCTTCAATCCAAACGTACCTTGATCAAGCAACGAAAACTGACAGCTCCCCTGATGACAAAAGCCTGCTGCGATCAATGGAGCAAGCTAAATGCAGCGAATGCGCGAAACGCGGTTTGCACTGATTGAAGCTGACATACCCGTGCCACTGTATGGGTTGAACTGGTCTCCGGCTGAAATCATCACGAACCAGTCCTGTGCATCGCTTGGAGATTTTCGGGAGGGTGTTCATCAGCCTAGTGGGAGTTGCTGCTGTCATAGGGATGATCTTAATGCTCCAGCAGCTACTGTCTAAGACAATCTGTTCAGAGTAGTTTTCTGCACTCTGGCTGGGCTTGCAACTTCAGATGGCTGCAGGATTCAGCAGCCTAAGCCAGAATTGTTCTAGACCTCATTTCCAGGTGTAGCACGCTCTGGACGCCACCGCCATGGTCTGTCACATGCCACCACAACCTACCATGGGACCCCCCACTGCCACAGGTAACAGCCCCATCACCACCCGTACAACCGTGAGGGCGGAACAGTTAGAGTGCAACACCAAAGGACCAAGAAAAGCACTCGGGTCTGCCCGAAAGGAGACGAGCAGTCTCCGACGGGTCATCCTGACGGGCGGACGCCATGGTGGAAACACGACAAGACCGCACCAAACAGACCGACAGTATAGAGCCAAAAAGCTGCGGGAAGAGGAGTGAAAAAGACAGGGAAGCAGACGCAGACTCCTCCAGAGTGCTTTGCGGAGCGACCGCAAAGTATCGATCATGCCATTGATGGCGGATCTGAGTGCCAAGAGAAAGGCGGAGCGCCAGCGTTGAATGAAGCGGTACTCATTCATGAGCACGTTGCTGTTTTCGATGAGTTCATCGACAGAGGCCCGGAAGTGCCTGTTGATGTTCTGATCCTCAACCATGTCACGGCGAATGTCATCCTGGCCGGCTTCTCGACATCGGATCTCCCGTTCCACCGATTGACGGCGGAGAAGATCCGCCTGACCAGAGGCACCGGGGGTCGGAGAGAAGTCTTGAACAGGGTCAGCAATGGCGGGGACGAACGAGCGGGGACAGACCATGAGAGAAAGCGCCGCGGGAGAGTAACGGACAAGCGAAAGCCACCAAGAGCCCGTACCGAGGGCAGTTTTTGCACCGAGGCCGGGGTCAGCTGGGTGAGGACAACTGTGTGATACAAGCAGCCCTCAAACCTGCACCGATGATTTAGAGTGTTCTG